AGCTTTCTTCCATATTTCTGGAAATAATCCCCCCAAAATACATGTGTTGATTATATTCAGCAAGGCATTCGTACAAAATGGGATACATAAATTTAGGTCTCTCATAGAGAAACCATCCTCTCCAATGGCATTTGATGAGCTATTAGTTACAATTTTGATTAGACTGGCCCTGTCTAACTGTTGGAAGCTAAGAGAATCGTTAATGTTTACATTGTTTTTGTAAAAATTGATTAATTCTTGGGAAGCAGTGTCTGGTAAATTGTCGGTCTGCTGGAAGTAATTGTGTATGTCATTTACATTTTGTAAGTGTTCGGATATAGTTGAGTGAGTTTTCTTGCATGTTATGTTGAGCTTTTTGGTAGTGTCCCAAAATTCCTTACCTTTCTTTGTTGAGAGTAAGTTAAAGAATGTATTTTTTTCTCGGATAATTGCATGCTTTGTACAGTTCCTTAGTTGTTTATAATATTCAAAATGAGCCTGTGATTTTGATTTTTGAAATTTTTTATGAGCTTTATCTCTTAGTCTGATTAGAATTCTTATATTTTGAGTTATCCAGGGTACATAAGGTTTTTCGGTTATTTGTTTTGTTTTTATTGGAGCATGTTTATTTAGAACAATTACTATATTTTTATTAAAGACTTCTATTTTTCGGTCGATTTGGTTTATATAGTAAATATCCTCCCACCCAAATAGAAACCGTTCATTTAAGAAGTATTCTCTATCTATATTATTGTAGTCTCTATATTTAATAGTCTTTTGTGATTTATTTATTTTTGTCTTTCGAAAGGCTGAGTAAATTAAGTTATGATCTGAGAGATTTTGAGAAACTGCCAATGATTTAGAATCGATAGAGATAAGATCCTCACTAGCACAGATTATATCAATGAGGCTAGCCTCTCTTGTGGCAAAATTGAATCTTGTTGGCTCACTGATCCTTTGTGATAAGTTAAAACTATGAATTATATTTTTAAGGCGATTTGTGTATGCAGAATTATTTAAAATGTTAATATTTAGATCTCCTATCAGTAATAAATAATCATGTTTGTTGTTCATGGCAAGATAAATCAATATGTAAAAAAATTGTATGTAAATAAGTATACGTAGGTATTTTACCTTTTTTGTCACTCGGTATATTATCAATCAAGTCCGGATGTGTGTTTGACTTCTTCTTATTAATGATTACAATACTGTCTCGTGGTATTTCTCTATTTTTTTAAATATTGGGTTTACTGACGATAGCCGAAACGACAATAATATTTGTGGTTTCAATACCCTAGCTATCAAAACTGGTATGAATGCGTGTGTAGCAATGGGTAGGTCTACTTAACTTATTTCCTTTGATATAACTTCAAAGAAGCTTTTGGAATCTAGTACGCCTGGCAAAGATAAATGACGATAAATATATATTTTAGAAAACCCCATTCCAACATTATTTACAAGACAGTAAGCAAACGTAAATTCCAAGTAACCAATAATATCGAGTGGGAGAAAAAACTACAGGTGACCGGCCCCATACGCCAAACCTTTAGCAGAGCGCGGCTAGAATGTTCTGCAAATAATGATCCTATCAGTGGACTGATCAGCGTTAAAGAATTTCTGTGTGGCTAATTATACTAAGTGACATATAAATCCGAACACCCAGTTTAAATGGTTTTATTTTAATAAAAGTTGGTGAATGTATTTATCTTACTGTAAATAACAAGTGAAAAAATTTTCAGCCTTATCAGTTGGACATTCCGGTTTTTATACTGTTTTTTTCAATTCACTAACGCTCTAAAAATGAATATTTCAGCCACAGTAAAGAATCACCGTTGGCGGATTTTGGTTCTTGACATCCTTTACGATCGGATACGATGCCTAGAGTACGGAGACCTGTACGATTTCGTCAACTTAGTGAGTTTGATAGGGGCCGTATAGTGGGACTTCGGGAAGCTGGACTTTCTTTTCGGGCAATTGCAGTTAGAGTGCAAAGAAGTGTAGACACTGTGATTAGGTGTTGTCAGGCATGGCTTCGAGAAGGCCGTACGCAAAGATCAACGGGCACTGGACGCCGCCGTAGAACAACAGACCGTGAAGATCGCCGCCTAAGATTATTGGCCTTAAGGGACCGTTTCTCCACTACCAGGTCCATTGCAAATGAATGGTTTGCAGAACACGGAAGACCTATTGGCATGTGAAGTGTTTACCGACGAATGAGAAGTTTTGGCTTGTTTTCATACCGGCCACACTGGGTCCTCCCTTTAACTCGAGAAACCCGACGTAATCGCCTTGAGTGGTGCAGACCACGATCACTCTGGGATCAGGAATGGAACAGTATTGTCTTTAGTGACGAGTCTCGATTTTGTTTAGGCATGCACGATGGTCGTGCCAGGGTTAGAAGGCGACGTGGTGAAAGGAAGAATCCACAGTTTTTTGTTGAAAGACATGTTCATCACAGTGTTGGAGTTATGGTTTGGGGTGCTATAGCTTATGGTTCCAGGTCACCCTTAATCTTCATCAGAGGTAACATGAACGCGCAGCGTTATATCCACGAAATTCTAGAACCCGATCTTTTACCCTATCTTGACACCCTGGCAGATCCAACTTTCCAACAAGGTAATGCCCGACCACATGTTGCAACAGTCACAATAGACGTCTTTCAACATAATGATGTCACATTGTTAACAAGGCCACCAAGATCTCCCGACTTATCCCCAATTGAGCACGTTTGGGATATGATGGGTAGGAGATTGCTCAATTTGCAACGTCCTCCTCAGACTCTAGAAGCACTTCGAGAGGAGTTGGTGGTTGCCTGGAATGAGATACCATAGGAGGACATTGACCACCTGATCAGAAGCATGCCTAGGCGCGTTGGAGAAGTCGTAGCACATCAGGGTGCATCCACACATTATTAAAGGTCAAAGGGCTTTAAAGCAGTGCAATCATTTTGAAATTTTTATCATTTACTTATTATGCTTCATTAAGTACTTATACAAAATTTTAGTAAAATAAAACCATTTAAACTGGGTGTTCGGATTTATATGTCACTTAGTATATTTTACACCTCGTAGATTTTCGCGTACATTTGCCTTTGAAGCTTAAAAAAAATATCTTCAGCAAACGCTGAACGTACCTATCGGTAGCACTTGCCGTGCGCCACGGTATTGTAAAATTATATCCCACTAATGTTTTATACAGGGTGATTCACAAGTCGTGACCAAAAATGAAACATCATACACAGGACCGCACTTTATCTATCACACATTTTTTCTCGGGGCTTAAAAATAAAAAACATTTTTTTAATATCTTCTAAACCGTCAACTGGAATGAACTAAAAGCTGATGTATGGATTTACCTAAGTATTATCCACATTCAAAAGACTTCACTTGAAATTAATGTGCACCAGTGGCGGAGATACAGGGGATTAGTGGCATCATTTTTCCAATTAAAAATAGCAATTTTTTTTTCTAAACGCGCAATTTTTCGAATTTTACCTTCAAGTTGCTACAAATAATTCCTCTTGTCACTTAGTATATTTTACCCCCGATGCCAAAACTGGCGAGAAAGTATTATAATCGTGAAAAATTTCAAAATTGGGATATCGTTTTTTGATGTTATATGACGACGCTGCATCTTCGTTGGGGCCACTGCCGACTGTGCAATGGGTAACCAACTCCAACTGCCCTGCGGTGGTCTCTGACACACCGCTGCAGGAGAAATATTTGTAGATTTTAGCAGTATTTGGGTATTAGTAGCTCGTATCACGTCAGTTTTCTGCGATGCTTTTGTCCATGATGTAAATGTATCACCTATTTCCCCTAACCTTTGTGTTACTCCGTCTATGATAGTTCGCTGAATATTTCAAGTAGATTGACTCTGTACTTATGACACATTGATATACAACAGTCACGGACTGACAAATCAACATACAAGGGCTGTCTCAACCACCGATCCCAAAAAGAAGCACCTATTTGCGATGCTCAGTACCGCCCCGACAGCGATGCTCAATGGAGCCCTTCATCGCCGTCACCGCCCGATGCGAAATTCGTGCGGTCATCCGATTGTTGCAAGCAAAAACGTTACCACCCATAGAAATGCATCGATTCTTCTACTCAAATGGTGAAGAGAGTGAACATCCAAGTTGAACAACGAAACGGGAGGCCGCCGATCTCCGGGGAACTTGTAGCGAAGATTGAGCAAATCTTGCTAGAACATCGGCAAATCACGATCCGGGAACAGGCGGTTGAAATTCCAGAGGCTTCCAAAATCGTCAAACACTCACCAAAGCGTAAGACGGTCCAGCAGTTGCAATGAGCAGTTGCCAAGTTTCTAATCGGACGGGCGGCCGACTTTCTTGACGCGGGACTGCAAAAGTGGATTTTACGTCGAAAAAAATTAGTAGAAAAAAATGCCGACTACGGAGAAACATTGCTTAAAGATCAATGTTTCTAATGGTGAATTCATGTTTTCAAATAAAAAATTCCTTGTGCCTGAGAAAAATGTGGGAACCTTATTTTTTGAATATCTCAAATGAGAACACGAACTTGCGCATGCAGATATCTTTAACCCTGTATCGCCTTTGCGCGACACCTTATTGAAAAAATCTAATATTGACATAGGTTATCAGTTATGACTTATAAATGACATAAGATATTATCATAGGTGAAAAACAACCTGGGAAAATGACTTTAGAATTAGTTGCTTGCAAGCAACATTGCGAGATAAAGTGTAGGTTCTATTGTTACTTGCAAGCAACGTTGACCGATAAAGGTAAACCTAATTGCACTGGTTTATATGGAAATACAACTACTATACATTTCAAATCATTTATTTATAAAACGAAATCAAGAAATAAACAAAATATATATTTCTAGTTTCACAAAATACAATGTGATGAAACAGCAAAATCTACTTGGAATGGCAAAGGTAGAAACAATTCTTATTTGGGGTGAAACAAAGCCTAAGATTGCACTTGGTACAAAAGATTGTTGTAAATCCACCGGCACAGTACCTGCATCTACCTTTTGTATCATAAGTTGGCCAATGACCTATGCCATCTTTTTGGGTGATGATATCAGGTCTCGGCAGTATAGGGTTTGATATTACTTTCGCAGGGATTTTATTAGTCAAGGAAATGGATGGTCTGCCACGAGAACTTTTTCCTGCGTTGGCCAACGATTTGGCTAATTCCATACGGAACTCCTTTAACGGTTTTGACGTTACACGTGCTGTGTTGCAGTCCTTTCTATACAAAAGCCAGGCGTTAATCACTGACATATCAAGAACCCATGTGAAAATTGGGAAGTACCATGTTTTCGATCTGCTTGGACTGCGATACAGACCAAGTAATGAATTGGCCTTATCGACACCGCCCATGTGCTTATTGTATTGCATTATAACGGATGGACAAGGGATGGCAATTTTTTTCTTTTCCACTTTCGAATATCTTTTTATCGATTTTACGGGATTTAGGCTACAGAATGTACTTGCTAATGGAACACATTTATTCAACCCATTTTACTACTATTATACCTTTGTCTGTATCTGCTTTATAAACGTAAGAACCTCTTCCCCTTTTTTGAAGCACTTTATCGGTTCCAAGTTGACATCCAGCAATATTCTGTTAGACCTTATAGGTCCTAAACTAAGTATCCCGAATCGGTCTTTCAGATAAACAAATAATTTTACACTTTAAAACCAATTGTCACAGAATATAACAGTGTTTTTCGGTTCGCTTAGGGTTTTGCACAGAGAAATGACGGCGCTAGCACCTACACCTAGATTTACTTCATAATCATCTAACTTCATTCGGAGAACCTCTTAGCACTTCAAATGTCGCAGCTCCCTGATAGGGTATGAAGTCGGCAATATAACCAGAAACCACAGCACGAATAAAACATTTAAACCCCCATTTGTGGGGTTTATTTTGGATATACTGCCTCAAGTTGCTCGCATATGTGCCTTTGTAAGACACCATTGTTTCATCAATTGTATATTGATTTTCAAACTGGAGTTTATAACAGTTCTCGCGTACAATTTCTAATAAGCGTCTAATTTTGAAATATCGATCCTTTGTCTGGTCAGTTATGTTCGTATTATTATTGAAATGGATAAACCGTCTTAGTTTCTAAAACCTCTTCAGAGGCATTATATTGGCCACGTGATCTACTCTTGTACTAGCTGCCCAAAAATCTTCTATGGCAGGAAGTTTTATTACACCCATAATCAAGAGTATAGATAGAAAATCCGTTTTTTCTGACGGATTTGTATCAATACATTGCCCAAGTTGCTGAGTACTATAAAGATTTGTCTGATTGACTATTTTATTCATTAGATCAAATGAAAAAAACTTTGTAAAATACTCAATGGGAACTGCAATGTTGTCAGGCTCAGGAAAGTCTGGTGAAGGTAAACTATGTCAGCTTCAATCCAAGAATATGATTCAGTTTTTCGTCTTTGTGGTGGTGGCGGCTCAGTTTCATCGTTACTTTCTTCGAATTCAGAATTACTTTCTGGAACCAGCATGTCAAGTCCTAAAGGCACTTCTTCTTCATCGTTAAGCTCATTTGTTTGGGAAATATTTTCTCCGTCACTGAAATCGTCGTCTGAGACATCGGAAATATGCGGATCTGTGGGAATTACGGTCGGTGCCTTCTTTTTGCCGAAAAAACATGTAGTGCTTATGGTTGGAAAATTATCCAGATCGGAAGACTGAAAAAGAAAACGTAATTATTCTGGCAATGTTTCTTGAGAGATACATACTAAACAAAGTCAATTTCCTGCCCTATTTTCTGATCTATCGCTTAAAATTAATCATAAACATAAAAACTCAACCTTCTTTTATACCAACCAAGGCTAATAGAACATAAAAACAAATGATTACTTACCATTTGCAACTAAAATCCCAACTACAGATTCATACGTGCACCAAACACCTGTTACGCGGCAAACATATTGAAAATTTTGACTCAACTTTTTATAAACAGAGGTCGCTCATAATATTATTTCCGTTAATGAATAATGTAGCTTACGCGCAAGACTGCCCAATCAGACCGTTAGAGCAGGGAGGACGAGAAATTGAGGTTTAAAGATGATGTTGCCTACAGGCTACAGCACCAGATATAGGGTTAAGCAACAGAAAACTTGTGAAGTTGTGGATTTTGAAAACCGATTCAGACGCGGCGGAATTAAAATCGCAACATAATGATATAACGTTTCAGAGATTTCTGCTCATTTTCAGACATTGTTTGGAAGGGAAAAATTGAAGGTTGGAAGCTGTATGCGGTAAATGGGAGTAAATTGTTACATATTTGGTGTTAGTGAAAGACCCTCTATTATTAAGAAGCTGCCAATTCAAAACCTAAACTTGGACAGAATTAATTAAACGGCATTGTCATAATAGTTACTTAACGTGTCTAGTCATTTAAACTACTAATAAAGACTCGTTAAGCAATATAAACTGTAAACCATAAGTAGTTGTCTGTTCACGCCTTATATACGACAATTGTTATAACACTTATGCCATCCGAAACATAACAAACAGTGCTTGCGGGTAACGATGAACTAGACGTGTTTTAATGTTGTAATTTAATGTGATTCTAGCGCTGCGCTTTGAATATCTGGGACCTGAAGTAGCGGACGTGAAGGTCTTTGTTGTGGGGCACCTAGTTTCCTTAAACGGTTTTCAAAGTGTTATGGCATTGATTAACATATTCTACCAGTAGATAAAAAAAAATTATTGCTTTTCTTGAAAACTCAATTTGGTACAAAATAAATGAAAGATATTTCGAAGAGGAAAAGTGATAATAATAAATTTAACCAGCTTTTTCATTCGTTCGTAAATGTAGAATATTCACATAAAATTTCAGAGCTCTACTAATATTTGTTAACAAGTTACGATTGAAGAAAAAATTCACAACAAAATGCATTTTTGACAAAAAAAATGTACGTCATTTCTTAGTCATCTCTGTACACATCATGAAATAATCAGATGAAGAGGATTCAGAATACTACCAGATAGGCAGTTGAAAAAAGGGACATGCGACCTTAAAGAAAAAAAATGGAGTTTGTTTTTATTATAGCGATCCTTCTTGGCACCATGAGTACGACGATGGAAATTACACAAGATCTGTAAAAGTATAGGTAAAAATGACGTAAAAAGAATACAAAAAGTTCTAAACTCGTTCTTACGACTCATTAATGGGATCTGACATAGAAAAAGTATTCCACATAAGTTAGTCGACATAAGCTGGTTAAATATGAAAGAGATAGACGAGACCACATGCTTTTATCATCAGGTTGTGACCATGAAAACTCATTCAAAATTATATAACAGAATTGCCATTCGTCAAGGAGTACACAAAGTAAAAATAAGGTTCAAAACTACAGTCATACCATCAGCTCATCGTACTGCTCCCTTTGAAAGATCCTTTTCTTATAATATCTCCAAAACATATAATGTCCCTCAATTTTGAAAATCCAAATCGCTAGATTTTTGTCACAAAATACTACTCCAGGTTTCTGGGACCTCGCTATAGTAATGTATCATGTTGAATATCTAAATGGCTTTTTTACGCTTTGTATAATATCAATATACACTTATATGTATATGATAACATCTAACTCTCAGTGTATGTTTTCCTTTTTTCTTTGTATTCTGTCAATCTTTCCTTTCTTGTATACGTGTTAGTTACGTCATTGTTTTGAAGCTGCTGCTTATAATAGAATATTATTTTTATATATTGTGTGATGAGGCTTGCAACGTAGCGTTCGATCTGGCAACACTGGAGGAGAAACAGAGGAACATGTGACCCGCCTTCAGTACAAGTTTGAACTCGCTCGAATCATTTGGTTGGTTGTAGCCATTTTTTTGTGTTTAGGATTTGCTTCAGATTTGGGCACAGTGCAACGGAAACTCTTGCTCTTCAGCAGGCCTAAGGAAGTAGTGTATTGTCAAGATGGTTTAAGGCAATTTAAAAAAGACCGGTCTTGTCACCTAATTCACCTACCTCGTATGTGTCCATCCAAATACAACACAGGGTTTAGGCATCTTCTAGGAGAATACATTAATCAATGTTTACACATTTATAATTTACATTTTATACATAAAAGTTTCATCATGATGCTTCCCGACAGCAACATCCTCTTGCAAAAATTCTTTCGCCATCCTCATACAAATAAAGACGAAATTCACATGTACGAGTAATTGGATTCACAGCCTGCCTTCTTCTGACCAACCGCCGTCTTTATTAAAAGTAATTGCTTTTCCTGTCTTGCTGGTTTCGCCTACTACGATTGTACAAGCGCTGGGCTGTTTATTTGTATGACTGTGGAAAATTCGATTTGGTCATGGCATGAACAACCTGGGCAGATCGGCCAATTTACATCTACTAAGTTATGATTTCTGATCGACACCTACAGCGCATAACACCATGGTTGGTAAAATCTACAATATTATTTACATTCCTCAAAATGATTGCTTTTTAAGGTCCAAAAGTATTCTATAAGCTGCCTGAGTGTATTGAGACAATCAGCCTCTTAAATAATTTCAAAGCCGATTTGAAACCCTATATTGCTACGCCACCAGCAACTTTGTAGATATTTAGATGTTCCTTTTTCGATTGCTTGTCTGTTGTCCACTTATTTTTTTGTCCTTTTATACAGGGTGACTTCGAAGTTGAGTCATTTATTTTAACAGTGAGTAGATCTGATCAAAAGAAATGTTTTTTTCCTTTACCATTTTTCTGGTAAAATTAAAGTAACAAAGTTAGAGCCCTTTGGAAGTTTGAGTACCGCCCTGTCTCAATAATAATATTATGTGCTCGTGTTTGGCGACAACGGATATAATCCGCCTTATCGGTTCATCGCATCGGAAACAAACAAGCGAAAGAATTTGGAACGATGTTTTTACAATTATTTCATTCAGTTGTATACAGTCAGTGTCAGTCGGTAGTGAATAGTGGTGTCTGTTGCGTGGCTCAAACGAAATAAAAAATGGCACATGTTTATGCGGATCGGTTTCCCAATCGAGTGCAATCAACCCCTCGTGCCTTTGTTAATGTAGTACAACGTGTTCGTGAATCAGGTGACTTAAGACCTCACATATGGACGGCATGCCGGTGCTCCAAGACCTCACGATCAAATACAGGTCCGCACTGAAATACTTGTCGGGAGGATACTTTGTAAAACAAGGTAAAATTTTTTTTTTTAATTTTTTTTTATTTTTACACACATATTTTGGTTTATCTTCCTTCTACAATCATTATCTGAAAATTAATGACTCAACTTCAAAGTATATCTTTATACCATATTTTTTGTGACTTTATTATTTTTAACTGCTAGAAAGCCAATCTATTTTACCATATGCCTGCTGTTTCCATTCCAGACATTGTCCAATTTTAGATATTTAATTTTAGCTAATATTTGTTGTTGCTTGTTACTTTATTGTTTTTTATGTATATACGTATATACGTATTTCTGCCACGCGGCCGGTTATAGCCACTTGATGTGGTAGTTCAAGCCCAAAGGATCTACAAGAGAAAATGGTCATGCTCTTCTTCTTAGTTCTTCAGGCCATTTTTGACAATTTTCATCGGTCATCCACACCACGAGCATTTTTCCGACATCTTGATTGGCATGTACTTCGCTACCTTGTGAGTGGCTATGGCGCGGCTTCCCATTATCAATCTTTAGACCTGGCCACATTTCTGTCAAATTTTCTACAACTGGCTTAACGAATTCCCGACCATTATTAGATTGCAATATAGATGGTGATACGAATATGCAAAATATGTGTATATCCAGCAGTACTTTTGCTACTTCCTTGGCAGACTTACATTGTGAAGGGCGTAGCTGTACGAAATGCGTCAGGTGATCCTGGTAAATTAATATGAATTTAAAACTGCCGTCTGGGCTTGTTTACATGTTTATCAAATCTAACTGGCAACGGCTATTGGGCTCATTAGGTAAAATGGGTTTCATGACAAGACCTGTTCGGTTGAGGTTCATTCCATTTGACATTACTTACAAAAACGAAGATAAATAAGAATATCGTCCTGAGTGATGTTTGCGTACTTGTTCTTAGCTTCTTCAATCATCCTATTACTCTCGCCGTGTCCAATGCTCACGTGTATCTCATGAAGAATATCGAACAGGTTCCATTCCTGACGTAGTATTCGAGGTCTTCGGTATTTTCGCCATTGGATGGAGGAGCAAATAACTTCTCTGTGCCACCCATGCCACACACATCGAAACGCTTCAAATGACGGTATTGTAAAGTCGGACTCTTCATTGCTTTTTTTCAGCTTTGATATCTTGGATATACTTCAAATACTATTTGTTCATTACTCATGTAACGATTACCGCCTTGTTTACGTAGAAGTCAATAGGAGCGCAAGCTCTCCGTAAAAACTTGAACTAATAGATTCTGATTCTTCAAACATTTCCTAACGAACCCTTTTATACATCTTCAATGAGTAATAAATATCATTATTATTATTATTACGATTATTTAAACGAGGAATTCAAAAAATGGCGTCAAGTAGGTTGAATCTGCACTTCCCACGCAACGCTGTCATCAGTTCATAGAGGATTAAGTTCCGGAACAAGTCAAACCTTCTGAAAAAAAATGATTCACGGACATGTACAATAAAGAAATTAGACGGATCAAGCTAGACAAACAAGCCCATACAATCAGTCCATAAACGTTATTTCTGTGTCCTACCTGTGGAAACCATCCATCTGGCAACGTTGTCCCTAACCATATTATGATCACTAGACTTTAAAATACTACAAAACCTTTCGGTCCTTGACGTAGTAGTAATCTTCTGTTAAAATTTCACCCAAGTCCATGGATTACCGAATAGGCAGACAGACCGGTGAAAATGAGTGTCATGGCTTTTCAAAATGTACAGTTCATCTAAAAAACATTTCTCCTTTT